TTAGTCTTGAGGAGAAAGAAGGGCTTCATATAAATATGTGCTACTGCATTTATTCTAGATGGGGAGGGTCTTCTTTCCCTCTCACGCGTACCTCTGCCTTCTAGCTTCAGGTGACAGAGTGTGGCTGGGGAGAGCCAGCGTGGAGAGCCTGAGGGACATACTCCTCAGAGCATTCTCTCTGGTGCTATGAGATCCGGTATCCTCAGGCAGTTAACGTATTTCACGAGATCTAAAACGTGCTGGTTGTTAGAAGCATCATTTTATGTGTCTCAAGAAAGTAAGAACACTGCCAAAAAGCAATGAGATGATGTCAATTGTAAGATGTATCCCAAATCAAGAGATATTAAAATGTGAAAAAAATATGCATTATAGAATCAAGGAAATATGTTCTAGGTTCTGGGGCCCAGATTTACAGGGACCTGGCTTACAACAAACCTCTTTGCACTGATGATTAGACAGTGAGGAAGAAGCATGGCTTGTAGTTGTTTTGGGAACAAGTGAGCTTATGCATGGGAAAACTAGGTTAGAACAGTCTGTAAGGCCGATGGCTAGCTGTCATTGCTCTGGCCAACGTTCATATTCTTGTCTGGTGCTCCTATGGCCTTGGAAAGGGAAGTGGGGGTGGGAAATGAACAAAGGAATTTCTTCTCTGGTGGGTTCAGGATACGCTTCTCACGTGGGGTGGGGAGAATCAGTCTTCCTGCTTCTAATGTGTGTTTGGCGGATGCACAATATTGTTACAGAGCATCCGGGAGCCACGTGATGCTCCTTCCTCTTCTCGGAAACTCCATTCTGAACCACTTGAGTCATTTGTGTCACGTGTAAACTGACACGGAAGAGCAGTGTCTGGGCGTCCCTGCTGGTCTCCGCTGGGTGGAAGCTTCAGAATAATGGGATAATGGGAAGTGTGGCAGGAGACTGCTTAACGGGGTGTGGGAGAGGAGCTCCTTCTGGAAGAGGGGATCTGGTCCCGCCCCGAGCCCACATGGGCTCTGTAAACAACGAGGCAGGTGCTGCTGCCCGTTCATCAGCGCTAGGAGAATCCATGATGGAGAGGATAGAGGGGAATGTGGGTGGAGAGCCAGAGGGGGCAGCCTGCAGGCAGGAAGCAGGAAGCTTGCAATGAATGGGAAGCCAGGAATGCACAGAAGGAATGAGGAGAATGTCTGAGAGAAAACGGCAAAATAAAAAATAAAAATAAAATGATGACTTGAGGAAAAAGAATTAGCAGGGTGTTCAGAGATGCAACATGAATACAAATTGCTTGCTTGGAGGATTTTTTTTTAATTTTATTTATTTATTTTTGGCTGTGTTGGGTCTTCGTTGCTGCGTGCGGGCTTCCTCTAGTTGCGGTGAACGGGGGCTACTCTTCATTGCGGTGCACGGGCTTCTCATTGCGGGGTTCTCTTGTGGAGCACGCACGGGCTCTCGGCGCATGGGCTCAGTAGTTGTGGCGCACGGGCTTACTTGCTCCGCGGCATGTGGGATCTTCCCGGACCAGGGCTCGAACCCGTGTCCCTTGCATTGGCAGGCGGATTCTTAACCACTGTGCCACCAGGGAAGCCCTTGGAGGATTTTTTTTAATGTATGTTGAAACTGGCCTCAGAGAAGAGTAAACATTTGTTATTTGATAACTAAATGAGTTCTCAAATATTCTGTAAGACTTTGAAACCCAGTAGTCCCACGGGAAGTTCCCCACGGTCCCTGGAGAGAGGCAGTGTGAGGGCGCCTCTGTGCTGCTGACAAAGGAGGGATTGTGTGGGGGGCAGGACAGAGGACCCGCCTGCCCTCCCGCAGGCCTGGGGCCAAGGCATCCTGTGCCAGAATTGGCTTTGTTTCTGCTTCCTCCCAGGTAGGACAAATGCAAACGCGGTTTTAATTTGCTAGCTCCAGAGAACCAGCCTGGCCCTGGGAACCAGCTTGAGAAGGGAAGGAGGCTGCGGCCCTGCGGCCAGGGGAGGCTGGGAAGCCTGAGAAGGGGAGGTGACCAGGGGCAGTCCCTTCCCTGTTGTCAGCACTTGGTGATGGACATCAAGGGGGCGCCAAGATATCCAGGAGGCTTTTCTTCCTCGCCATTGAAGAACATTCCCACTGTTTGCCTTTAGGATGTGATAGGAATGCCATCGATTTGGAAATAGATTTACTTTCAGTAATGAATGAGGTGATTGAGCCAACTTTTATTTGTTTAGATTCCCCTGGGACCTTGGGCATCAAGGATAATTAACACCATGGCCCAAGTTCACAGTTATTTTTCTGGACTCATAGGCTATTACGGGCACAAGCACTTCACACTCTCAAGGCCATCCATTTATTGAGCTCTTCATGCTTGCTCTCTGCCGTGCCAAGCATATTATTTACTATTTGGAACGGATGCAATAGCTGTTATTATCTCCATTTTATAGATGAGGAAAACTGAGAGATTATATTTCCTGGGGTCAAATTAAATTTGACCAGGATTCAAACTCAGGTCTTGCTGAATCCAAATCCCAGGATCTTAACTACATTATATATTTTTTAAATTCTCATGAAAATTTCTGACTAGCTACAACACTGACTAAAACTTAGAGAAAAATTGCAAGACCAGTACAAAGCACTTCCCCGCTACGCCGCACCATTGGTGAGAAGGTTGCCACTGTGATGGCTCTTCACCTCTGAAAACTTTAGTGTGTAATTTCCAACAAAGGTGGACATTCTCCTACATAATTCAATTAAAATCAGGAAGTTAATGTTGATACATTACTTTTAATCCTCAGACCCCACTTAAGTTTTGCCAATGTTCCAATAAGTTCTTTTAAAGCAAAAGGATCCATTCCAGTATGTCCAAAACTCTCAAACTCTCGAACTCCCTTAGTCTTCCTTTGATTTTTACCTTGACACTTTTGAAGGTTATGGGCTGGTTGTTTTGCAGAATGTCCCTCAGTGTGGGCTTGTCTGATGTTTCCTTATGATTCCATAGGGGTTCTGCATCTTTGGCAGAAAGATCACAGAAGGGATATGTTCTTCTCAGGAGGATACTCTTAAGTACCAGTGGGTTCACGGCCTAACCAGGGACTCTTCTGTTTCATTTTTAGGTGGAACTTAGGTAAAACATATAATATCGTTCTGGGATCTGGACAAGTCGTGTTGGGAATGGATATGGGTCTCAGAGAGATGTGCGTTGGAGAGAAACGGACTGTGATCATTCCACCCCACCTGGGCTACGGGGAGGCTGGTGTGGGTGAGTATGCAACAATGTTAAAAGGTGTTTGGGGCACATTCACCGTCTGTATTTTGTGCTTATTTAGAACCACAATATGCTTCTTCCATTTAAAACCCAAAGACTGTGGGACATTTTGTTTTCTAATTTATTTTTGGCTGTGTTGGGTCTTCGTTGCTGTACGTGGGCTTTCTCTAGTTCCAGCGAGCGGGGGCTACTCTTCCTCGTTGTGGTGTGCAGGCTTCTCATTGCCGTGGCTTCTCTTGTTCTGGAGTATGGGCTCTAGGAGCATGGGCTTCAGTAGTTGTGGCACACGGGCTTAGTTGCTCCGTGGCATGTGGGATCTTCCCGGACAAGGGCTCAAACCTGTGTCCCCTGCATTGGCAGGTGGATTCTTAACCACTGCGCCACCAGGGAAGCCTGGGGACTTTTATTTAAGTATTTAGATTTTTGTTTCAAGACCCCGTGAATTCGGTGTTAGTGCCACATTAATGGGATTAAACAGGGATTTCTGTTAAATAAATCTTGGCTCTTCAAACCCACATGTGGGAAATGTCCCTGAAAGGGCTTGCCAGGTGACTTCTCTTAGGTGAGCCAGGTGCTTCCTTGGGGAACTGTTTCCCAGGACACTGGAATGCTGAACCTATAAGCTATCCAAGGAGATTTCCTTGTGGAAGAGATTGGTTTCAAGTTCTGGAAATACTGGCATTACGTTGCCCTCACAGCTGTTACGGTTTACTTCATGATTTTGGCCAAAATGAGCCCTCCTCATGGGGGTGGGTGGGAACCCCTTCTTTTTCAGTTTTTATGCCCCTACTGTCTGGAGATGGAGGAGATGGGAAGTGCTAACTTATAGAAGTGATAGGCACTTTGGATTTTCTTTTTCAAAATTTTTAAGTAATTGTAAAAGATACTCTCTGCTAATCCCCCCAGTCGGAGAAGAAACACTTTAAAAAATATGTTGTATATCCTGTATGACCATGCTCCTATGATATAGATTACAGTTATAATATATAATTTAAAATAATGCACATTTATTTATAGTCACATACTTGTAAGTTCTTTTGGGCTCATACTACATATACTGTTCTAGAATTTGTGTTTACAAATCATATCCTGGATCATGATTTTAAGGCATACTGTATTATTCTTAAAGTTCAGCGGTAAGATTTATTCAAAAGTTCAAGCACCATTGTAGACTCTGCTAGTGGCTTTTAAACTTTTTTCACCAAGACACAGTAAGAATTACATTTTATCTCCCAATCTGTGTTACACATAAGCATGCAATTTTACCTAATATACATATCCATTTAATTTTATATATAAAATTAAAACTAAGTTTCATAAAACAATACCTATCCTTTCTATGTGCAATGTACTCTGATTTTATTCTATCCCTTAATTTAAAAAAATACTGGTCACCATTCTCTCAACTGATTTTGAGACTCACTACCCACAGTTTGGAAAAACCACTCACTGATTGATGCTGAACTTTCTTGCTTTTGCAAGAGATGCCTCTATCCATGAGGCAGCTAGAACCGGGGTGGCCGGCAGGGAGAGGATGAGAGGGGCGTGCCCTCCGCCTCGTCGCTAACGCCCCCTCCTCCCGTTGCTGCGGCAGATGGAGAAGTGCCCGGCAGTGCTGTGTTGGTGTTTGACATCGAGCTGCTGGAGCTCGTGGCCGGCCTGCCGGAGGGGTACATGTTCATATGGAACGGCGAGGTGTCAGCCAACCTCTTTGAAGAAATTGACAAGGACGGCAATGGAGAAGTCCTCCTGGAAGAGGTAACTGACCTTTTTGAAGGGAAGTGGGACCCAAGGAGCTCAGGGAGCCTCACTGGGCCGGGGTACCCATCCGGAATGTGAAGCCTCTCAGAGTGAGGACAGCTGTGCTTGCTTGTGATGCTGGTAACCTTCATGCTCACGTACCAAGCACTTGCACACACACAGTCTCTAAGTTGAGCTCACAACTCCTCTTTGAAGAAACCGAGGCCCTGAGAGCTTCAGGGCTTGGCTCCAGGTCTCACAGCTCGGATTCAGCTCTTCATTCCTGGGTGCTCACTGCAGCCTGCACTGTGCTAAGTGTTTTTCACATATATTATCTCTCTTGGCCTTCACAACAGCCTTGTAATCATCCCTATTTTTCAGAAGAAGCAGCTGTGCACAGAGAAGGTAAATGACTTCCCCAAGGTTGCACAGCCATCCAGCGGTTTGTACACATCCCCGTCTGGAGCATCTGGATCCTGTGCTGTTTCTCCTGCACGAGACACCCCTTTGTGGAACTGGGCAATAGAGTCCTCTGTCTTGTCACAGCCCCAGGGAATTCCAGCCGCCTGTTCCACGTCTGCTTATTCAAGGACGTGGCTCCAGCCTTCTCCCCTATCTCTCTTCTGTCATCATTTCCCCAGCTACTGGACCGTTCACATTAGCCCGAGAACATGCTGCTATTTTCCCTTCTCTTAATACATCTTACCATTTCTTTTAGGTCTTTGCTCCCTTTACAGCAAAAACCTCGAAAGAGTTGTCTGTCCTCCCTGCCTCCAATTCCTTTCCTTCTAATCCATTTCACACCCACTCCTGTTGGGTTTTTATCCCTCCACGCCACTGACCTGGTCTCACTAAGGCGCTGAACCTTACTTACTCTTACTTCAGCACAGCTGTCTCCTTTTTGAGACGTCTTCTTTCCCTGGCTTCCACAGCACAGTTTCTCTGTGTTCCTTCTACCTCACTGGTAGCTCCTTCTCAGGAGTCTTCTTCCTGGGCTCTTCGGGTGGAGGCTAAGTCCTGAACTTGAGCTCTTCTCCCCCTTTACATCACACCCTTGGTGGTCTCCTCCAGTCCCATGGCTTTACCATCCTTGTCCTGTGACTTCCAGACGGGCAGCTCCGGGCTCATCTTCTCTCCACTTCACACTCAGGTATCCAAGTGCCCACTTGATATCTTCATTTATTGAACTTGCTTCACCCAAAGCCTTCCCCATCTCATTCGATGGCATCGCCTTCCTTCCAGTTGCTCAGGTGAGAGCACTCAGTCATCTCTGACTCCTCTCCTCCTCTCACAGGCTAGAATAAATCCATCAGGAAATTATTCTAGCTCTATCTTGAAAGTATATCCAGAAGCTGCCCACTTCTCATCACCTCTACTCCATAGCATCTCAGTCCAGTGCCCACCGCCTCCCGCTTGGACCTCTACGAAGGTCTTCTTGCTCTCACCCTTGCCCCTCACAGCAGCCAGAGTGATCCTTCTAAAACATAAGTCAGAGCATGGCCTGCTTCATCTCAGAACCCTGCAGAAGCTTCCTGTTGGGCTGCATCCCGCAGGCCTGAAAGCCTTGTAGTTGCCCAGCCTTGAGACTGAAGAAAGAGCCTAGAGACAGCGACAGAGACATCAACAACTTATTGGACAGGGGTATCATACAAGTCTGCAGCAAAAGGTCCTGGAGCTACCCCCTACGACTGTGTACGGCAGACAGGAGGCAGGACATAACAGGAATCTCCGTTACCTGGGGGAGAAGGCCACCATTTATAGGGGAATTGACATCAGGTTGGCTTATCAGTTACCAGGGAAACCAGCAGCTGGGGCATGTCCCTCACAGCCCCAGGTTAATGACCATCACGAGGGCAGAGGTTTCCCTTTACTAAACTAGCAGGGGGAGCCATTCTGGCCTAAGGATTAGAACAATCACTAGCTGGGGAAGGGGACAAGCATGTTCTTGTGAGTAGGGTGTAGGTGAAGCAGAGACTAGTCAAACAGGGGATGTACAAAGACAAGGGAACAGCCATCTTGAGTGGCCTGACCATACATCCCCCTATTTCCAAAGTCTTTGCAATGGCCCACAAAGGCCCTCCACCACCTGCTTGCCGTAACCTCCCCTCCAACAAGTCTCCCTTTGCTGTCCTGTAAACACACTGGGCATGTCCACCCCGGGCCTTTTTACCAGCTGTTCTCAGCTCAGAAGACACTTCCCCTACATAACTGTTGGGCTTGTTCCCTCACTTCCTTCAAGCCTTTGCACAAGACTCTCTTTCGCATTAGGGTTTTACCCTGACCACCAAATTGATACTTCAACCCGTTCCCCTAACTGCACGCTGGATCTTCCTTACTTGGCTCTACTTTTTCATTTTTCTGGAGCATTTTACTTTCTAAGTTAACATGTAGTTTACTTACTTTTTAAATGTTCCTTTTTGGTCATGTATCTTGTCCACTAGTTCTAGCACGTGCTAGAGCTGCAAGGGCAGGATGTTCTGCTTGTTTATTGATGTATCCCCGGGTCTAGGATGGTGCTCAGCACACAGTAGACAATAAGTTTTTATTGTATGAATGAATGAATGAATGAATGAATGAATGAGAGGCGAGGGTGGTTAGGGGATTGGCCTTTGGTGGAAAACTAAGTGTTGATTTGGGGAAGAGGGATAGTTCCAGTGGTTGCTCTGTATTGGCTGCCTGGGACCTAAGGGCTCCTGGAGTCATTTTGGCAGGGTTTTTTTTAACCTGCATCTGGAGGAAAAAACCCGGGTCGTGTAGCTCAGAAGATTTTGTCTGTTCTGCTGGCTCAGACTCAAATTCCAGCCCCATCGCCCTTGGGCTGCTCTGTTCAGGCTCCAGCTTGGTGTTCTCAGCTGCTGTATCTCATGGTCTGTCCTGCCCCTTTCTCTCCAGTTCTCAGAATACATTCATGCCCAGGTGGCATCTGGCAAAGGGAAACTTGCCCCTGGATTCGATGCTGAGATGATTGTGAAGAATATGTTCACCAACCAGGACCGGAATGGAGATGGGAAGGTCACGGCTGAGGAGTTTAAACTCAAAGACCAGGAGGCAAAACACGACGAACTCTAAACCTGATATGAGCCACTTGTGTGATGCCAAGCCCCCTGTTGTGGCAGAATGTGCAGTGAGGGTGCGAGGGTCTCTCAGAAGGGGAATCGTCAGCAAGTAGTAGGTGGGTCATATAGTACCTGGGACATACATCGGGGTGGGTTGATACACATGGTGAGAATTTTAGGCTGATGCCAGTGATACTAAAAAAATCAGTGCGGGTGCCTTAGCATGGGTTGTGTAGAATATTGAAAATGCTGCATTGTCAGCAGTTTTGTGAGCCTTCTGGGTAGTTTTGTTATGAAAGGAAAATAGTGTCATACAGGAGTTATAATCATCTTGGAGGGAACAGAAGAACACGTGTCTAGGATATTTACATAAAGAGGATTAAAAATGTTTTTAACTTGCTGGTGTTTTAAAATTATTCTCCAGATGGCTAGAAGAGACAGAGGGCATGCCCCAGCAGGATTCCCAGACAGCCCCAGAGAAGTTTTCCCAATGGCCCGTATGGGCCCTGGTAATGCCCAACCTCCACCGTGCCTCTACTCACACACTCACACAGACACACACACACACACACACACACACACACACAGGTGTGCTCTTCTAGTTAATCATACCCCACCTCACTGTGGTCCTCCCATTGGCTAGGTAACTTGGAGGTTAAAAAGAAAATCAGTGGACCAAACAAAAGGCATCTTGGACCATGAGTAGAGAATTTGATTCTGCATTTGTCACATAAGATTATCTTCTTCACTCTTGCTTATTCCCATCACTCTATCCCATAGCACCCTCTCTTCTCACCCTGAATCCTTTGATCAGATATAGATACACATAGGGCTGGTGGCTAAGCCTAGCTCCAGAGTTATCTCACTGTGGCCAAGACGGAAATGTCATCCCAACAGGTGAGCATAGACAAAGTGACATATTTCTGCCTCTCATTCATGTCCTAGAGAGGGAGGTGCCCTAAGGCCTGGGAGCCTCTCTCTGCATAGGAGAAGGACACTGTACCTGCTGGCCTGTCCCCACGTTATGCAGTAACCACCTTGCTGCCTCATGTCCTCTGTTCCCAAGTGGTGGTGGCACTCATCCTGCAGTAACCAATGATTTTCCTTTTGAAACAGCTTTGTTTTACTAATTTAAACTATTTTGTACTGATGTAGCCCTGAGATAGATCGTTCCTGAAAATGCTGTGCACTCACTCAATGGAATAAATGTTGGAAGATGACTTTTTCATAAATAAAATATTGAATTATATCATCAGGTTTTGTGGTATTTTATCTGAAGTCTCATTTTTCCCATGAGAATACACCATGCCATCAGAATCCCCTTGATAAAAACTCAGCAGGACTGAATTGGAAGAAGTGGAAGATTGCCGTACGGTATAAAGGGGATGTATCAGTCAGAGTCCTGGCTGCAAACATACCCTCATGTGGGACTTCTGAAGAGAAGCTAATGAAAGTACTCTTTACAGAAGTGTGGGCAGGGCTCAGGGGGCCCAGTAAGGATGTCGAGGTACCCATGACTGCTGTTGGCCAACGACAGTAGGAAGCTCTTCCACCCCTGGGCCTCAAGGGTCCAGGGGAGCCTGGGCGGGGCTGCCTGGTAGGAGCTGGTGGAGGGATGCAGCCACTCCCAGAGCTGTGGCTGGCAGTGGAGCAGAGTACTGAGGGGGGAGACACCCATCCTCTCTGTCCTGCCACTGGCTCCCATTAGCTGAAGCCAACCCGAAGCCAGAGGGCAAGGAGCTCAGGGGCTGGTGTTCTCAGGGATCAGTGTTTTGGGGTGCAGAGGAAGGTGGAGAATGACCAGTTGGGGTTGGGTTGGAAGCAAATGGAGAATAACTGGCACAAGTATAGGGAAAAAACTATACATATATGGCTTTTTAAAGAGCAAACGTTCTGGTTTACTCTTTGCAGAAGCAACTTCAGGGACTCTGTGTGCTTTTGGGAGGGGAAGGAGGTGCCCGTGGCCTTCCTGTCTGTTCCCTAACCCTCTTCTACGGTGCACACAGTCACTCAGCCTTTTCATTTAACAGAATTCCTTAAGGGCACTACATACGTTTATGATCTGCTAAACTGAACTGCTCTTTGGAATGCATTTGACCTGTAGCACTTCATTACGCTTACCTTACATATCTTCATGAAGATAAACATCCTGTGCTTGTTCTCTACGCTAGATCTTTAGATGGTCCTGTTTGAATTTCTTCACTGGCTGTTTTCTATAGTGGTGGAGACAGGTTGGCTGCATAAAAAATAAGTTTCTCTGGGAAAATTAAGGACTGTGGGCCTTAGAGCTTCAAGAATGGAGGGAAACTTTAGCTTGTATTTGTTTTTGTATTTAAACTGCCTACCTGACTGCTGAGCTGGGACACTGGTCTCTTCTGGCCTTCAGACTCGGACTGAAGTCTCGGCTCTTCTTGGGTCTCTGTCCTGCAGGCTTTTGTTGTTCAGCTTTACTGAGGTATAATTAACAAAACTGTAAGACATTTCAAGTGTATGTGATGATTTGACATAAATGTACATTGTGAAAGGATTCCCCCATCTACTTAATTAACATATACATCACCCATCACCTTTTTTTTTGGAGAACGTTTAAGTTCTACTCTTAGCAAATTTCAGCTATATGATAGCATTATCAACTATAGTCACCATGTTATACATCAGATCCACAGACCTTATTTATCTTATAGCTGAAAGTCTGTATCCTTTTTTGTATTTCCCCCACCCTCTAGGCCCTGGTAACCACTTTTTTACTGTTTCTATGACTTCAACTTATTATTTTTTGATTCCACGTATAAGTGATACCATGCAGTATTTATCTTTCTAAACCTTTGACTTACTGAGTGCTGCCTGGCACTTCCATTCTTTCCGTTGCTAAGGGAACATATGCATTTTGTTAGGGAAGTTGGCCCGACTGCAAGATTATACATAAGCACTTTAATAATCTTAGGTTTCTAGGAACAGAGCTGCTTTCTTTGAAAGCTGCTTTCTTCCCTTGGATATCTTAGGGTCCAGAGTCTTTTTATAAAATAAGAATACTGCTCTCAATTATTTATTGCTAGCTGCAGATATTATTAAAATAGTGCTTGATTCTGTGTGGTCATCCTTAATGTTGGAATTTCAATAGGTCAGGGGAATTCCTTCCAGCTTACAGTGGCCATATTTAAATCTCATTGAAATTCAGACAACATCCAGATTTATAGTTCCCCAAATTTCTCCTCTGAGCCCTAATCTGCCTATGGTATCTTCTCCTATATATCTCACAGGCATCTCAAACTGTGTGTTCAAAATAGAATGTATATTCCCACTCCCTTCCCAGCACCTTCCATCCAAGCCTGTTCTCTCTCATTCTTCTCTTGTACCCATTCGTTCAAACCAGACACCTGGGGTCACCCTATTCTCTCACCCCACATGTTTAATCCAACAGCAAGTTTTGCCATTTCTGAACTGGTAATGGCTAGAAGAGGCTGTAGAGACTGCTCTCATGGCTTTCATTTTAAAGGGAGGTGACTGACCTATAGTCTTAGTAAAGGACTGAGCAATGACTAGAATGCAGGTCATAACTTCAGTATTCTTTACACTTATACCATGCAGTGTGCTTATTTGTGGAAGCATATTACAAATCCTTTGGAAAATAGCCAATATGGCAAGCTCTAATAGCAAATACAGGAGTAAAGAGCTCTCATTAGATAAGGGATTCCCAACTTTTTCTATGTGAAAAAGCCCTCCAGGTAATTGATACTCCCATGCCATGCTATCTGCTTTAAAGCAAGAAACTTGGTTTTGAGTTCCATTCTGGAAATACCCAAGAAGGGAACAGTCTACTTTGCGCCACCGAGTACTTTGTTTATTATAAAAATGAGAAGTAGTGATGGAAGATAAGGATGGGCTGCAGGAAAAAGGTTTGCATCACAAGACCTTGCCTCCCTACCATATTCGACCGGACTAGAGATTACTGACCACACTAGATGTCCAGAACCAGCTGGATCATGCTTTGTCTGTATCACAGCTCACATGCTAAGAAAACCAATAGACTCTGCAGTTCAAGGGCTAGAAGTCAGGGTCAAATTTATCACAATGGTAGGCTTCCCTGGTGGCGCAGTGGTTAAGAATCCGCCTGCCAATGCAGGGGACATGGGTTTAAGCCCTGGTCCGAGAAGATCCCACATGCCATGGAACAACGAAGCCCGTGCGCCACAACTACTGAGCCTGCACTCTACAGCCCATGAGCCACAACTACTGAAGCCTGCACGCCTAGAGCCCGTGCTCCACAACAAGAGAAGCCACCGCAATGAGAAGCCCGCGCACCGCAACAAAGGGTAGCCCCTGCTCATCGCAACTAGAGAAAGCCCGCACGCAGCAACGAAGATCCAACACAGCCAAAAATAAATAAATAAAATAAATAAATTTATTAAAAAAAAATTATCACAATGGCAAGTCTAAGCCTTGTGTAAACCATTATGGGGCAGCCAAAACTCAGAATGGGAAGTCAGACTGCACAGAGGAATGTCAGTTCCTAACCCTGAAGTACTTTGTTTTAGTCAGCATGAGACCCAGCTATATTTTGTTTTCTGCCTATGGCTGTTTCTGAAACGCTTAGACTTTCAATATAGTACTTCTTTTACTAATATTTTCAATGGCGGAAAATAACTTGCCTAGGCCCAATTATTTTCTGAAGGACAGATTAAATTTTCTCTGCAAAAATCTTTTCATAGTGTGTAAATCTGAAAATAATCTAAATAGCCACTATGACAAGGACATTAGGATTCATACATCACACACAAAAACATGGCAGGTTTTGCTGAATGAATAATAATAGTCTTGACAGAGTTAAAAAGGCTTTTCATTTCATTTTTATCATCAGTGCTTCAATATAGAACATTTTGTAATGATTAGTGGCATGTAGATACCAATAGATTTTTTTTCAAACATCAAATGCCAATATTTTTTGGTAAATATCGATTTTCACCAAACAAAATAACCAAACGTAACACAATTTTAGGAGATGGTTAATACCATCAGCATAATTCACCCAAATTATAAAAATGACAACACTTAAAATCATGCACGTTATTTCACCATTTCATAAAACTTTTTAAACGTCTACAAACTTTCCCAATGTAAAAAGACTTCTCAAAAATGTCATAATAACATTAAGCTACAAAATTCACTATGGAAATGTAGGGAGTTATTCTTCAAATTTTTGCTCTAAGTTTTTTTTTAATCTGTTAAAAAATATAGTGAGGAGTGTGTTGAGAGAGATGGAGAAAAAGGAGCTTCCAGTTGATGGATTCAATAAATCTGAAAATACTTCAGTAATATAGAGGAAAAACTTCAAGATCAAGAATATATTATAAATAAAATCTTTTAACAAGATGAACAGATGAGCAGCTCTTGCATCAGTTGTACCCACAGGTGAGAGGTCTTCTTGAAGAATGCTTGTTTATAGAATCTTCTGTAAGATAGAGTTGGCTACATCCAATGATTCATCTTTTACTAGAACAATATCATAAGAGTCCATGTACTTTTCTAAAAGCTCATCCACCTAATCAACAACCAAAAAAATCACAAAAATTAAATTAATATGCAGGGGGGAGAAGTAAATAATCTCAGTATAAATCTCACTGCTATGTTAAATCTTTTGGGTAAAATGTTGTAAATTAATTTGGTTTCATAAAACCTTTGAAATGAAGAAATACTTTCAAAATTTTAAAACTCATTGACATAGGAAGTTTCCCACATGGTGGCTTTTCTTCTGAAATGATTTCTCTCTAGCCCAGTGGTTCTCAACTGGGGAGATAGTGCCCAAGGAACATTTAGCAATGTCTAGAGACATTTTTGATTCTCAACTAGGGAATGATATGGGCTTCTAGTGGGGAGAGGCCAGAGATGCCTCATTTAGAATGTACACTCTCCCTCCTCTATAGCATGCATATGTACATACCAACTCCTTTAATCATCACCAAAGTAAAGGGATAAAGAGAAATCAAAATGTCTCTAAAATAACTGGGGCTTCCCTGGTGGTGCAGTGGTTAAGAATCCACCTGCCAACGCAGGGGACACGGTTTTGGGCCCTGGTCTGGGAGGATCCCACATGCCGCAGAGCAACTAGGTCCATGCGCCATAACTACTGAGCCTGCGAGCCACAACTACTAAGCCCACGTGCCACGGCTGCTGAAGTCTGCGCGCCTGGAGCCTGTGCTCCACAACAAGAGAAGCCACCGCAATGAGAGGCCCGTGCAGTGCAACAGGGAGTGGCCCCCGCTCGCCGAACTAGAGGGCCCGTGCGCAGCAACGAGGGCCCAGCACAGCCAAAAATACATAAATTAAATAAATGAATTTAAAAAAGAAAAAGTCTCTAAAATAACTACTTTCTCAGGCACCTTTGGTAACGATTGTCTATAAAGTTTTATCCTAATTTTTTTTCTAAAGAAAATTAAATCACATCTATATACTTACTCTATCATTTAGATATCCAATTTTCAGAATGTGTTCAACATTGGCTACTCCATCTGCCATTTTTAAGTCCCCTTGGGAGTCTCCCAGCAGAATTATGTTGCTATTGTTTTTTAGTTGATTGAAATATTCCGTATTCTTCAAGGATCCATCATGTTTGTTAAACACATGAATTAGTTCTCCTTTAAATCCTCTGAGCAGCCCCTGTTAAAAATATAAATCCTCTGAAACAATAGGTTCTGCAAGTTCTGCTTGTTGCATTTTTACATTCATGATAGGTAAGAAGGGCTCTGAGAAGTTAATGACTTCCTAGAGACCACTTTAAATGCATTGAAAACCATTGAAAACCACTGAAAGCACAATGCTTTGAAAACCCAATTTTTACTTTTCATTTGTTTCTCAACCAAAAGGTCTCATTTTATGTATGTCATAATATATTGTCTTTCTTAGAACTCATTCAAGTAATGTCAGTTCTAATTCACTTTTTTTTCCCCATCTATGGATATTAAGTGTTCAGAATTGCTGCATTAAATTACTTTAAAAGAAGTTTTACTAATTTTATTATTAGTCTGCAGCTTCAGAAACAGAAGGGTATATTATTATTTTTTTTTTGGTATATTATTTTTAAAACATGGATATAGATATAACCCTGGGAGAGATGATGATTTCCAGAGCAGGCCTATCAACTTGGCCTGGTTTAATGAATATACATTAAATAATAAATTAAAATGCATTTACACGATTAAAATATTTTCTGATACTAAAATTGATCATGAAGAATGATTTGCTATTCTTACATTGTCATCAAAATCCATGAAGTTGGACACTACTTTGACATTTGGATAATAAACACCAGCTTGACGGATAACCTCCTCTAGTACATCACCGATACCAGCTGAGAATATGAACACAGGAATACTGTACTGTTGCAGCTTATCAAAGAAATTCTCATATCCTTCCCTGTAAGATGGAGGTAAGAAGTGAATGTTAAAGAGCAAGGTATATCTCCTTTTCACCTAGAAGTTATAAAAGCTAAATATTTCTACTTGATTCTATGGCTCATTTATATTCTCATTTCAAAATACTGCCCAAGAGGGCTGTTACTGTTGTCTATGACACTACTGCAAGTTTTTCAAACTGGTTAGCTTTTTATCCTCGTTTCAATAAATTCTAACAGTACAAATTAGATGATTTTAGACTTGCACTGAATATGGATATAAACCTACAGTTCAGAATGTATATCATTTTACAGCAAATAATTGAAGCACACCTTGAAAAACCCACAAAAGGTGAGCTGGAAGACCTCCTGCTTGTCATCTTGCTCATCTACTCCTTATTGTAAGAAAAGCAGAGTGGTGTATTCTCTTTACATCTGGCATCTCTCTTACCTAAGATGTGGCAGCCATAGGTAATGTCTTGATCTTAAAATCAAAACTCATTTTACTCTTAATGCACTATAGGTTAAGCTGCCTACAAAGGAATGAAATACTTACTAGCTGTCCTCACACTTTTTCTGACAATTTAATGCTTTGCTCCTTAGAAGCAGATTACCTTAAAATGTAGCATCATCAAAAAAAAAAAAAAAGAGAAAAAAAGAAATATCATCATATTCACCCAATGAATTGAAAAATTTAAGAGGTGGTAAACAGTATTGAAAATAAGCTTAAAAATGTTTATAGGGCTTCCCTGGTGGCACAGTGGTTGAGAGTCCGCCTGCCGATGCAGGGGACGCGGGTTCGTGCCCCAGTCCAGGAAGATCCCACATGCCGCGGAGCGGCTGGGCCCGTGAGCCATGGCCGCTGAGCCTGCGTGTCTGGAGCCTGTGCTCCGCAACGGGAGAGGACACAGCAGGGAGAGGCCCGCGTACCACCAAAAAAAAAAAAAAAAAAGTTTATATAATTCATATATTACAGATATTTTTATTACCTGCTAAAACATATTCGCCTTTCCTAGAGATACTAGTTTTCAAGGGGAGTTTGAGAATTCAGAAGGCAGATCATGTAACAGAAACAGACTTATGAGCTTAAAATCCTTTTCAAGTTGATTTATAAACATTCCTTTCATATTTCATGTCTTTCAAAAGTATTTTGCTAAAATATTTCAAAATGGTCTTGGTTTCATAAATTTTTAAGTTAGTCTTGAAATTATCTAATATGTCATTCTACATTCCTTATCTTACCACTGTTTTATGACAGGTGGCATATTTTGGATATGTTTTTATATGTGATATTTTATAGATTATTTTAATAAAAAAACACACTTGAATACATATATAACAACAGTTCAAGTCCGTAGACAATTAACAACAACAAAAAAAACACCTGAGAAACTTACTTGAGCATAATGTCAGATTCTTCCACAATTTCTTTAAGTTTGGCTTTTGGTAAAGCCTGTTCTACAAGCAAACCATGTGATTTAGTATACCTGGAAAGTATACAGAGCATATCAATTATCAAAGAAAAAGAGAATACCGATTAAAGCAAATTAAGACTATTATCTTTATTAAAAAGCATTCTTCAGTATGAGAAAATGAGCATTTCATTTATCGTAATTTTGAATTTAAATTTTAGAGATTTAAATTCATCACTAATGAATGTTATACCCCACGTGTCTCGAAATGTGATATGCATGTTCTTACTGTATTTCCCAGTTCTCAAAGTCTGGTTTAATTTAAATGTGTTAATAAGATAATGAAAGGATACAAGGTGTAACTCTGTCCTCAGTC